ATGATTTCATGTCACTATGTCATTGTAATGTAATGAAACTACACTTCTAAAAAACTATATTCGTGGCATTTGTATGTCCCAAAAAATTGCACATACCCTCTTTTCATCCCAATAATCAATCCTCAAAAAAATAAAATTCATCTTACACCCTAGACATGCTCAAAATGAGTCCACCTCCAACAATGAATCTAGATCATCTATTTGGTGAATTTCAAGATCTAGGCCTCCACGAGTTCAAAATCAACTTTGTCTTTTTTAACATTGTTCATTTAAGAAATAAAAAAGTCATTAAAAAAATTTGGAAGGGAAAAAATCTATTAGATTTAAGCGTCTCACCAAAATGGACGGCTTATAAATATATATAGGGAAAGTCTATAATGAAACCATTTATCTTTGGTACAAGGTGTTCACAATGAATCTTGACCATTGGATGTGAAATTGGGTGCATGCATTTATTTCATTGACCAAACTCAAAATTCAAAAGAATTTTTGTCGAACTTTGTGACACACTCAAGCTATTAGATTTCACATCGGATTGTTGTAAGTAATTGTGACCTCCCTATTCCAAAGGTAAATGGTCCCATATATATATATATATATATATATATATGAATATGTTCAGTATAAAAATGCCAAAAGAAAATTATTGTATCTTCCGAAATTAATTCACTAGGCATTGTAGTTTTGTCTCAAGTAAGGAAGCCAAGATGTTAGTCACGTGAATGATAAACTTCAGTAATAGCAAAAAGAAAAGGTACAAAGAGTGAAAAAAAGACACTTGATTGTCTGCCACACTGTATTTCTTCAAAAGCTCCTCTTTTCTAAAGTCAATATTTTGTGTTCTAGCTTCAAAACATGTTTAGTTATGTTAACCAACAAATTTGATACGTGGAATTTAAGGAAGCACATGAGAGTATACAACATTTACTAGTATCCGTGCCTTATCCTAATTAGTATCCGAGCCTTATCCTAACTATTTAGGTCGGCTAATTCATATAGAGGTGTGGCAAAAAATTTACGCTGGCTGCCAATCTAACACAATCTTCCTCCTTCCTCATCTGGGCTTGGGACCAGCCACGGCGGAGTTTCTTCTCCCGACAAACACAAGAACAAATATTGCCATGAATAATTTGACCAAGTGAATGTACTAATACTCCAAACATATATCAGTCTAGGAGCACTGCCTCACCACTTCGATCCCTCAACTTTCCATTGTCAGTCAACCTCATTTTCGACCAGTTCACGTACAAGGACTGCCCCATCTATCTCTCCCTTGTGTCCATAATTCCCCAGAATTTAGTCCCTCACATCCAACCCAAACAGGGAATCATTTTAGTGGGAGGCTAGATGTCCTTTGCTCACCAATGCACTCCATGTGACAAGTATTAAATCAGGCAAAAAACCCATCAAAAAGAAAAAGATCACCAAAAAACCTAAACAAAGTCTAGAAGGAAGAAGATATCTTAATGGAAATATCACGTAAAGAATAATGGTTCATATTTGAGTAGGTACCATTTTTAAAAGTGAACTGTTAGCTGCATGAACTCATGTCTACTTCTCTGTTAGCTGCATGAACTCATTTATACAATAAATAAGAACAATGAAAATGTATTGTTTCTATGCTTAATGGGCTTATATTCTCCTACACAACACAGTTGTTTGTTTATAATAAGTAGCTTGCATAGGACAAACCAGTGATACTAATCCTGTCTTTCCCAACTTGATAGTCAGAGTAATGATGGTAACCCGAAGTCCTGGATTTAACTTGTTTAAGTTACACATGCTACTTTTTTTTTTTTTTTGGATTGATGAGTTACACATGGTACTATTGGCCATAAACATCCCATACCTTCTTCTCAAGAGCATAGCCACTTGTTTTTATAACTATCAGACCTACACTGTGGGTGGCCATATAAATCTTCCTTCCTTCTGTTGGGTGGCAGAATAAAAAGCTGTGGGTGGATAATTAAAAGAGTGGCTGACTGTGCTGAAGTAATAATTTTCTAGTGGCAATCTTATTTTCTAGGTTCAGGGGTGGCAATGGGTTGGGTCGTGTCTGAGTTGACCCGGACCCAACTCGATTAGGTTCCATCTGTGACTTTGACCCAGGTTCGGGTCTAGAAATTTTTAAAAATAAAAAATTTATTTTATAAAGTATTTAGTATATATTATATATTTTATATACTCTATACGGGGTTGAGTCGACCCGACTGGGACCCGATCCAACCTGATAGGGTCCATGTTGGTCCCAAACCCAGCGGGTCGACCCAATTGTCACCCCTACCTGGGTTTGTGGGGTTTTCATGCTTCAACTTTACAAAGATAACTATCGCAAAAGAAAATTCCATGCAATTATGGTTTTGATCCTTGGTTTTAAGTTTCAAGGAGAACGAAATATATTACTAAATTAATTATGTGCATGTATCGCATACCCTATGCATTCTTCATAGGAATGAGAGCTGTATATCTTCTTAGAAATTTCTACATGATATTTGGGTTTAGTGGCTGTTACTTAGAT